CCTAGAGAAATGCCTAAATCCACCTAGCTACACGGTCACAAAGCATAACAAAAAGAAAATAAGCAAAAACGCGCGGCGGTTCAAAACTGCCGCCTTCTTCTCTTACTAAGCAGAGACCGGTCTGTACGTATTCCGTAAAACGCATTATTTCGTCCTCCTCGTCCGTTTTTCTTTTCATCTTATTTACACCCGAAATGGTTTTGTGTCCTCTTCTGACTCGTTAGACCCCCTCTCTCACTCACCACAAGGAGTCATCCCATTTACAGTTATATGGGAGGTCAAATCTTATGGAAAAACGGACAAAACTTTTTTTATTGAGGAGACGGAACTAAACCATGTAAAAGTGTCCTAATGGTTTTTCTAGCGGACCGAGCTACACGGTTTGTATGGTCTGGCATGTTTTTCGGCGTGTAACTCGCTTCAAAATTGACATATTGCTACGGAAAATAGTTCAAATTTTAGATCTTGAACAGGGCTTCAAAATAATATATAAATTGACCAAGTATTAAAAGACACTGCGCCCCAACCAGTTGAGCCACGCGGTTGTGAATGTAGGACCTTTTTTGGCATGGTATATTAGACGGCTTGTAACTCGCTTCAAAATTGACATATTTTTATGTGAAATAGTGTAACTTGTAGGTCTTGAGAAGGGCTTTAAAACAAAATATAATTCAACCAGATTTTGAATTTGTGTACCTCCCGCTAGAGGTGCGGCGCTGCTACCAGCTGAGCAACGCGATGTCTGCAGGCCTCCAGGCATGGACTTGCTTGACGGTTTGTAACTCGCTTCAAAATTGACATATTGCTACGGAAAATAGTTCAAATTTTAGATCTTAAACAGGGCTTCAAAATAATATATAAATTGACCAAGTATTAAAAGACACTGCGCCCCAACCAGTTGAGCCACGCGGTTGTGAATGTAGGACCTTTTTTGGCATGGCATATTAGACGGCTTGTAACTCGCTTCAAAATTGAGATATTTTTATGTGAAATAGTGCAACTTGTAGGGTTTGAGAAGGGCGTTAAAATGAATTATTATCCGGCTTGGGGTTAAACTTGTGGACTTAACGCTAGAGGTTCCGCACCGATACTACCTGAGCTACGCGACGCCTGCAAACCTCCTGGCATGTACATGTTCGAATGCTTGTAACTCGTTTCAAAATCGAGATTTTTATACAAAATATAGTGTAAATTGTAGATCTTAAAAAGCGCTTGAAAAGAATATATAACTTTTTTATCCCCATTTTTGAGCTGTTCTCAAAAATTGATTGTTTTTTGTCAAAATCGGATTGGCTTGCTGTTTAAGGGCTGTTGTCCCAAGGATCCTTAGTTTTCAAGTTTAAGGATTTTATATCATTTTGTAGAGCTTTTTACTTTCCACGTACTCCAATAAAAATTGTTTCAAAATTTTGAAATTTGAAGTGAGTTATGAGCCCTTGAAAATGAGACACCGTATTTCCTTTAAAAGAAGCCAGTGCACTTTGAACACAACTATCCAGGGCTCTTTTAAAGCTATCGAAGAGCTGTTATTTGATAAGGTATTTATCATAATATCAGTAACATTTTATCAGTTGACAACTTTTTGATATCTCTTATAGGAACCGAGATAATTGGACTCAAAGTTCATGTATATGGGGGGGGGGGGGGGGTATATGACTCGAGCCTTGATAGTTTGAGAGCTTATATTTCAAGAAAGCCTTAATTTTCGAATGATTAAACTTTATATCGTTTTATAGAGCTTTCAATTTCCAACATTTTCCAAAAAACCATTTTCCGAAATTTCGAGTTTAAAGCAAGTTATGAGTCTTTGAATTTGCTAAATCGAACATTCATAAGGCAATTCCGGAGATGTTCAATTTCGAAATTGCAAACATTCTAAAGTAAACTTTAAGAAATTGAAACGAAATGTGTCGAAATGAGTGTCGTCTTATCTGCCTGGAGCATCTGAGGGGGGAGCTGTAAATTGTGTCCCCCTCCCCTCCCTCTTCCTCTTCTTCTTATTGAAAATATACATCAATTCTGGGAAATTAGGGGAAAGAAGAAAAAGAAGAAGAAGCAGTATAATTTGATAATCGGAGTGGGATTCTCCGTTACTATTGGTCCTAAAATTTTGTTGAAAAATTCTCGTTAGAACAAAAGGAGCATCGAAGATTCTTGAAAATTCTTTTCCCCCAAAAAATTGTTTTAACCGTAACTCTTTTAAGTGTGGACCAACTTCAAAATAGTCTAAAATTTCAAAATATGCAAAATGAGAGCTTTAAAATGAGCATAAACACGACTAGGTTTTAACAATGTCGAATTTTCGGTGTTGGTGGCCTAGCTTTTGCATTTTTTAGGCCATTCGTGTGATTTTACAGCTTTAGGGAGGTTAGAGTGAAGGGAAAGGAGTCACAATGGGCAAACACCTTTGAACAATTAAAAAATTAACAAATAATGCTGAAAACACGAAAAGAGCAGCCGGTG